TGTTACATTACCTACCTTTATACTTAGGTCACATCATCAGCCAATAAGTGCTGCTGAGTGTGAGCTGACTCCTGCCAATCCGACTTGAGCAAACGTAGTAATTAATGGTAAAACCTTCTCCGTGTGAAAAGTGGTCTTTTCTCAGCAATGGGTAGGTACTTATAGGGTAATAATATGTGTGTGTGATGTGTGCAAGTACCCGTTTCCACATCACGTGACCCAATAGTCTTTATCTATATCTTTATAAAAATTTCGTGTCACGTGTTTGTCCGCGATGGACTCCTAAACTACTTACCTGATTTTAAAATTGACTTGCATTCCGTGTGCATTTTAATTCAACTTGAAAGATAGGATAGCTTACATCTCAATTTATAATCACAATATTATGTGTCCATATCTAATATGACAAGAACGTTAGCCACAGCAACGCGTGGCTGGGTCTGCCAGTGTTTGATAAAATTTTGAGTGCCTTACAGACAAAACATAGCCAAAACTACTACTTGCAAATGGCTAACACTTAACAAGTAGGCAGTAACAAGAGGCATTTAATAAAAATAGTAATTTTATATAATACTAATAGAGCAAAAAAGAGGAATGCTAGTATTTTGATAATTAGATTAATAATAGTATTATGATAAAAGAGATTTTGCAAAAAGAGTAAGTAGCAATGGAGTTTCTTGCTCACTCTTCACAATACGAATCTACGGTTTGGAACGAGCGCATAAGTACATAGCTTCACTGACGAACAAGCAGACTTATTCTAATTTGACGTTTCAAAAGTATCTACGTTATTAAGGATTTGGTTGGAATAAATGATTTAAATTTTGAATTTGAAAAATCTAGACTTTTCACACATTCGAAACCATAGACAAGACACAAAAAATGAACAACACAGCCAATAAAAAGAACACAATGCTCTAATAAAAAGTTACAAAAAAACTAAAGAAACATATCGACAATTTGTTACTGACTTGACAAACAAAACAAATGAAACACCATCCGTACGTTTCCTTATAAGATTGACTAAATAATAATTAATTAAAATAAACAAAACGAAACCCAAGAAATATGTTGTTTGCTATTGTTTTATAATAATGTTGATTGTTTTCGTTGGAAACGCCTGTGAAATGAGTGTATGAGAACTGTGCTGAACTGCTCTTAATATATAAAGTGTTGATAATACTGAATACACATAGTTCGTTGAGACATGTACCACAGTTGAGTTACTCGCTTATTGGAATATTATTTCGCCGAAATAAAGGTATGTATTTAATTTTGCGATTTATTCTTGTGTGAATTTCATGTTTGTGAACACGGTTTCTTTTTAGTTAAGGTAGGGAGTTTAAATCTTATGATTAAGTAGTTATTTACTAAGATTAAAAAGTGTTTTTGAATATGGATTTTGGTCTTTAAAATTTGTTCTGTAGGTAATATTTTTGAGTGATTTTGATTAAAGTTTCGGACAGTATTTATTGTGATTTGTACGTACTAACTTATAGTAAATTATTGTAGTCTTATTAACTTTAATTATAGTGGTTTTCTTTTTGTAGCTTATTAACTGTAATGAACGTACGCCAACCAACAGCATTAGGTGTACACAATAAAAAATATGGATCACTTGGTCACAAAATAGAAACAAAGAAAGAAAGAAAAACCATTTATTTATATACATAAAATATTAGCATTCATAAAATATAGTATTGATTTATGTAATATAAAAGTAATAAAAGTAACTAATGAATTAATATAGATAGTTAATCTTTATAGGGATCTGCCCTGTATGCAATAGTTGGTACATCTAGAGTTGAATGACCCTTATTGTTATCTACATAATAATACATGTACCTTTTATATTTAATTTTAATTGAAATTGCTCTCTGATTACTTTTCTTCCTTATTAGATAGATACATGACTGTGTTTTGTGTTGTATTCCTATTTTAATGTTTGTGATATTATTTAAATGTCAAAAAAGAGGACATTACTAAAATCGTATCTACTGTCTAACATTAAAATCCGGAAAAACTCTTCTCTTCTCTTTAAAAACGATGTGCACGAATTTATTTAGACCTTCAATCGTTTTTCAGATGGAGAAAACAATATTACTACTCCTGTCCATAGCAACATCAATCAGCTCAACACCAGTAATGACAAGACAAAGTCTTCAGAGGCAGAAAACAAGAGACCATTTCTGTGCAAACCTTCTGAATTTTAACAATTTCTACTACTCATTAGAAGAACAAAAGAATGTGTCAGGTATCCCAGCAGACATGAGCATACACTGGAAGACTGGAAAAATATTCTTCACTTTGATCAGTGAAGATATGAAAATGAGTCTCCAAGTTTTAAATCCAAGCGGTGAACTTGATTTAATCAAAGTAGCTGGGCTGGGCCAGTCGACTTGTGTTGATAACCTAAATGACATTGTTTATTTAGCTACAGATAATGGTGTCTACAAATACAAAGATGACGGTTCCATCGAACTGTTCACTGCTTTAGGTGAAGATGTAATGTATATAGCTGTAACCAGCGATGGAAGTGCGATGTACATAGCTACATGGCCACAAAACAGAGTCCACAAGATCACAAATGACGGACAGAAACAGGAAATGTTTTCAGCCATACCCAACGGACATGGTCTAACAGTAGATCCAAGAAATAACATGTATTTTGTTGCCACAAAAACGTCTTACATCCTCAAGAATAGTTATACTGTTCCGATAAAAATCAAAGGCTTGCCAAGTGACAAAATGACTGGGCTATTCGTCAGCCGATCTGATGAAGTTTTCGCTATGGATGAGGACAGTAATTTGTATATGGTTAATCCAGAAAGTTCTAGTGCTAAGCATTTAGGGACTTTCAGTGTATCTGGAGTGAATTCTTTCGCTATGGACTCAGCTGATAATGTTTTGATTGGTGTCAAAGGGGCCATTTTGAAATTTAACGCGTACGAGCAGTCTCCGTGCCCAGAGTACGAGAAGTAAAATTCCTCTGTGTTGTATGTTTGTGTGTGACTAATTGATAGAAGTATTTATGTTTACAATAAACTCTTTGGATTTATTCTTTAGGCTAATCTGCAGTGTTCTTTGATTTTCTTCTTGTAAGTACTTACTTAATCTGTTCTGTTTTTTCTGTTTAATTTTGATGTTTGGGGTACATAATACGACTAACAATTACTTTTGTTTTGAAAGAGCTGTATGTAAACATGTATATAACGTCATACTTATTTTTTATGTGAAAATTCTGTTACCAAGCCAATGGATACCTACGTACCTGATGATAAGTAATCGGCGCCGCCCATGACAACGCCAGAGAAGGTAAAAACCTTCTGATAATAAGGGTTTCAGATTGTGGAGGGAAGGAGTGAGGGTAAGAATTGGGCCTACGGAAACCTCACTCACACGGCGAAACACAACGCTGTAGTTGTTTCATACAGGTTTTTTGTAAGGGCGTTAAATTCACTTTTCACCACTCGTGATTATTTATTGGTCTAGATCCCGTGAAATTGGGATGAAAGGTTGCTACACATTAAACACAATCCCTAACTTAGAAATTATCAGGAAAGTACAAAAACCATAGATTGCTTTTCAAAGAATTATCTTAAAAAAAAGAATATGAGGGTAAGGGAATAATATTGTTAATATTGATCAATAAATATAAGTACTTAACATAGGTATTATCTATTTCAACTTAACGTTTAGCTTTCCATACTAAATTAGTTGGATGTACCTACAAACCAAGCATAGATGGCCATTTATTCTTACTACCTGACCTGACAACTATAACGACAGATTTTAGTCAATTTGTAGTAAATTTTAAATAATAGATTCGCAACATTGGAGTAAATAAAAAATAAAGTAATTCATGGCGTGGCGACTAATTTTCCTTATAATCAATATCGAGATTTTAATCCTCGGAACAGATATGTTAATTTAATATTGTTTTTCATTCCCAGAACCAGCAAGAAAGGTAAGCGTCACAGCCGCAAAAGGAAAAACAAGAAACGTACTACAACTACCCCTGAGCCCACTGATGAAGACGAAGAAGAAGAATAAATTATTGTATATTTGTTGTTATATAACCATTATGCCACGTTCTAGTGTAATCCTTGTTGTCTACGGACTCTAATTTAACAATTATGTGAAACTTCATATAAATAAAAATTAAAAACACAAAGAATTTGTTTTAATGCCATCTATGAACGTTTAATAATATTGAGTTCCCATAGCTAGCGCCATCTGTTATGTTTTGTTCTAAGTGTTAGCTAACCATTTGTGTACTAGATGGCAGCACATTCGGTAGAACCTAATCAAAAGTTTCCAAAAATAAACTTCACGTAATAAACTAAATACGTAAAATATTCTACCCTAATCTAAAGATCTATTTCATTTTTTTCATTGATAATGATAACGTAAATCACTAAGATAAGAAATACTGAAACAAAACGATAAGGTAATAGCAGTATCAAAACGTGTTAGATTACACATTGCCATATTAAAAATATGATTCCATAACATGGAAAAGTTGAAAAGATCATGATTTTCGCTTTTATAAATTACAAACAACGCAATTAGGTAGGTAATTGACAAATAATTTTTCAATACACATATTGACGCTTAGCTTTTAAAATTATTCGGAAAATTATGTATTTCCATTTCATGTTTAATTTCCATAAATTCAAAGACTTAAAAAGATAAATCTAAAAAAAAACACACAAACTTGTTTGGTTCAGTGCTATTCTTTCAATTTTAAAGTAGACATAAACTTTGAAGAAGCTGCAAGAGAGATTTTAAAATCTTGCCATTTTTTAAGTAACTAATAGGTCCTAATTGAAAAAATTACTGTTTCAATAATTTTACATTTTAGCAATCCGTGTTTCAACAGACCTAACTACGATTTTGAAAAGCTTTCTTCCAAGTCATAATTATTTTATTTATGATTTAGAGGAAAATTGAACTTATACATGGCAACACCAAGTTGTCCTCCAAACCAACCTACCTATTTTATTTTCTGTCACTTAGTTCATTCATTTATTTGTCAAATTGTCATACGCGTCGCCGATGTGTCAGTGGGCGATCGTTGTATAGCGTGTTATTTGTGTCGTAAATGTGGTTCGATTATGTGATAATGAGAAGACATGCGCTTTACAACATTATTATTAAGTGATGCATGTGTTTTGAGTTCAGTGTCGTGTTAAAAAACGTTGTTTTCATTTGTATGTCATCGGACTCTTCAATATGGCGGCCCCTCGTCACAAATCACAACAGAAAAATATATCTTCGATATTTTCGAAGTTGCACGGGGCGTTCTCGGATGCGGTATGCCCTACTAAACTTGCGACCGATAAAAGGACATTGGATAAGACTTGGAAACTGATGGATAAAGTTGTGAAATTGTGTCAGCATCACAAGATGAATTTGAAAAACAGTCCGCCGTTTATTCTGGACATTCTGCCGGATACGTACCAGCGTCTGCGTATTATTTACTCGAAGTACGAGGACAATATGCAGGCGTTGAACAGTAACGAACATTTTAACATATTTATAATTAATTTGATAAGGAAATGTAAGCAGGCTATAAAGTTGTTCAAGGAAGGGAAGGAAAAGATGTTTGATGAGAACTCTCACTACAGACGTAACCTGACGAAGCTTAGTTTGGTGTTTAGCCACATGTTGAGTGAGCTGAAGGCAATGTTTCCGAACGGAACTTTTGCCGGCGACCAGTTCCGCATCACGAAAAGCGATGCTGCCGAGTTTTGGAGGACTAACTTTGGAAACAGGTTAGTTTTGCATTCTATATTTGAATACGGATGAGACTGTGCCATTTTGCTTCCTTATATGGCCAAGCCACATTCAATTGTTGATCAAACGGGAGAAAAATATCAAACCATAAAATTTGATATAAAACACTGTTATTCAGCTGGCTGAATGATATTAAGCTCTAGAGGTCTAAGAGACTAGTCTAGGCATAGAACAGACTAGGGATTTTATCCACTCAAACGATATGCCCCTGTTAGGGCAGGGACATCGGCCCCAACAGGGGTTCTATGAGAAGGTATTGCTTCCATGATTGATAGCATTGATTGAACTTTTAGGTTTCTTATGAAGATTCAAGGATTTGTATGTTAGCAGTCTTAAGCTCATAACTAGACTAAATGTATTCTCAACCAAAGAGATTTTAAATCATCACAATGCTTGGCTGGCAGATAAAAAGGTTTAAGGGAGACTGTATTACGGCCCAGCAATTTCTTAATACATAGCAATTTAGTCGGCTCTCTTACAGTACACATATTTGTGCAAAAAATAGAACTAATAAGTTATGACAAATAGACCCTAATACACCCTGTTCCACTATGTTCATTTAGGTTCTATATTAACTTATGTAGGACATTGCATTGCTTATATATATAAATCCTGTTCCATATTCAAATTTATTCAGACCTCTTTTGCAACAGATCCTAAATTTTCACATACCCTTCTTAGAGATTGCAGTACAGCCATCAAATCAAAACAGTTGTTAAATAGTTACAATCACATAACTTAATTATAACAATTTTAAAATAAAGATAGTATTTATCAAATATGATATTGAATACAAAACTTCTATTGTTTTAAAATTTTTCCTTGAAGTCTAGGTAAGTGTGTGTGTATAAACTCCATACTCACACTATGTTGTTGTGAATGTTAATGTAAACTGTTGTTTTTCCTACAAGGAAAAATATTGTATTTATTTATATTTTGCAATTTGTGTAAAGAAAGCAGTGTGTGGTGTTGTTGTGTTTACCAAACTATGTAACAGATGCTTAATTAAGTTACATATGATTTTTCAATGATTATATTATTCATCTTGAGGTTGGCAGAGAAGTCTATATATATAACATTAATTCCTTCCTCTGTGCCATTAATTTTCATTTTACACAAATAAAAGTTTCAAATTTTAGGATTTAATTGCTGTTTCAAATGTTTATTGAATAACAAATTGGTTGTAAACTTATGTGCTTAGGAAGATTTTGACCATGTTGTTGTATGGTCAATATTAATCATGTTTTTCCATTTTAACTGTTAGTTTTTTATATTTATTTATCCATAACATATATTATTAGGTATCAAATCCATCATTTAAGAAAGCAAATGCTCTACTAATTATAAATGCATAATCCAACCTGTCCTTACTTATTTCCCATAGGCTCTACTGAACTAAATTTCCCATCTCACAAGGGCTACTTTCAGAGATCCGTCTATTTCGTTTTTAGCTTTGATTATCTGGATAGGTAAAAACCTCAAACTTTATAAGGTCTGGCTAAGTAGCCAACAGTGTTATAAGACTGAACAACATGCAGTCCTATTAAATAAAAAACAAATGATGCACCAACACATAATTAGTTAGTTAACTTTTTTTTTTTTTGAATAAAATGTTCCCCACTTTAGGATTTTCTCCTGTGTTGTGGGTGCGTTTTCAAACATAACATGTCACATACACAAACTTTAAAATAAAATTGTATAAAAACTCCATAATACATTATTAATGAGTTTATCACTATTCATATGCAGTCTTTGACTATTCATTTCATCTAGAATGATGCTGCAACCCAGAATTCTTAGTATAACATTTTTGTATACTTTTTCATTTCAAAATTATACCAGAAATCTACAATAACATCTAATCCTTGTACAGTTTTTCATTAAAAAATACTATCAAATAACAGAAAACTAATGAAATTACAACAATTTAGCTGTCTATCTCTTCACAACATCAAGGAAAAAAGCTTGATAATATTTTTTTATCACGATAAAAAGATCTAACATCCTAGAGCTGATAAAAATGGCATCAACAGTCATTTAGCTGCTTCTATTGTCATACAATCTCCCTCACAATTGATAATTAGCTACATAAAACAATAGGTTTTTTAAATTCACATGTCATGCAACACTTCCTTATTGAATGTCACAGCTTTCCCGTGGGAAATAAGTGGAGATTTTTCTATTGGTGCTGCTGTATAATCTAGATTTTTTGCAGCAAATTTGTGTTATGTGAAATTATATCTGAATGGGCAGAATAGTGGATGATTTGTTTTTATTTTTTTAAGGCAATAAATAATGCTCAACTACAATGTTAGTGTGTCAGTCTCTCAGTTGGTAAATAACTCAGAAATTGCTAGAGAGATTTGGATACATTGATATTTTACTTTTGTGTACTTTTTGATTGTTATGCCTGGATGTTGAATAAGTATCTATTGAAGTATTTTTTTAATGAATTAGAGAAATGTTACCTAATCACATAAAAGTTATCATTACTACTCTTAATTTTTATCAAGTAATAAAGGAAGTTGTTATCTTAAAATGGTCTCGGTAAGCCCCCACGTAAGTTAGAAGTAGAAGTTGGTTGAAATCAATCATATTAATGCCAATCAGTGAATGGGTAAAAAACATGGCGCTTTTGTATTTTATGACGCAAATCATAAGATTGCTTATCCATTCATAAAATAAAATTCAAAGGAAATAAGTCATTTTATGAATGGACGTGCTTATCAATATTTTTTATCAGACGGATTGACTGAATTTACCTAGCTGCTTTATCTATGGTGAAATGGCATAACAGTATTTGAGTACAAACACCTGCGTGTTTGTACTTGGCTGTAGGTTAAAATCGGAACAATTTGAATTAGCCTTTGATACAAAGTTGTTTTTTATATAAGTTAATTTGTTAAGGTTTTATGTGTACATAAAATGAGAAAGATGGTACACGAAGCTGACTTAAAGCCATGTGTTGGAATATATAATAGACTAGCTACAGTCGCGCGGTTTCAGCCGCTGCTCAGCTCTATTTGATCGTAGCGTGATGTTTTATAGCGTATAGCACTCAGAGCACAAAGATTACCCTCTACATACAAACATATAAATTGTACATCTTTAAAATATTATTATAAATGAATAAACATGTTTTTTTAGTTTTGAATGCGTTTTAAAACATTCAATTTCACATAAATTTATACAGACCTGAAACAAGACTTTGTGGAACCCATAAAGAGTTGTTGCCTGTGTTGCATGACCGTCATTTTCAGAGCCACCGCGTCAACTGTTACTAATAGTAATCTACGGACAGTGGTTACTAAGTTTATTAAAAAATGCTAACAGGTTAACTATTTTTATGTTTTAAAGTCGAATAAAGTCGATCTGGTGGATACAATGCAATAAGTCCTAAATTCTGGTTTATTATTATTTTTAAAGGTTTTTTACGGCCCGGGGTTGCGGGGTAAGCGCAATGTGTGGCACCACGGCCTCGGCCCAAAACAGGAGAAGGAATGCAGTGTATTTAGTCAGTACGAGTCTGACACTCTCTCGCCCTTACCCTGGGCGGGCGAAGTCATTTGATGATTATCCTCTGAAAAAAAAGGCTTTTTATGATTTGATGATTGACTAACACTGGGGTGGTACATAGGTAGTTTACAAAATACACATAATATACATACAAAAGGTTTTGCCTCTAAGTCTTCTCCTTAATATCCATTTTGGAGGAATTATGGTATTCCAGAGGATATATTTAGATATAGGTAGGACATTACAAAACAAGCCAAGAAATACACTCTAATCAAGTTTAAATAGGGCCCATTTTAAATTAGCGATGACTATCAGAAATCTATGCAATTATTTTAGGAGGTACTTAGTGTGTAAAAATAAAATTATCGGGACATTACCTACCTATTTTTAAATATATAATTTTGATTAATCGTTCCCTTCGTCATGTTATCAATAGAAAATTGCAATGAAAATATAATTCTCAATGAACTGTTCCTAATCTATATTTGATATTATAATTCCGGATGTGTAATTGATATTTTATCGGTAATAATCTTTGAACGACCCGATCATTATTTTTCTTACGTAAAATTTGTGATTGTTAAATTGATAAGTTTTGGCCCTACCTACCTACCTACTTGGAGTTATGTATTTCTGTCTAATTAATAATGGGTTTACAACATAGTGACAAGGCGTAATAAGCCCATATCTACAGTTAGGATCCTCTCTCCGCAGTAATGCACCGCAACTCCGGCCGAGAAGGATAAGGAACTGGGTCGTTTTTTGTCAGTAATAATCTGACTCTCTCTCGCCTCACCCATGGCGGTAGAACTGATTTGATGATTCGAAGGTCCTTAACTATTTTGAAATAATTTCAAGAAAACCACTACTAAAAATATGTATTACAAGTTTGTTCTCATATCGAGAACTAATTCTCACAAACATAGACCACATACGGGGCCCTATAGGACTGATGTTCGGTGGCCTTGCTGGACAGGAGAAGAAACGGAGGGTTTTATTTTAGTCAGTGTGAGTCTGACACTCCCTCTCGCCTCACCTTGGGAGAGATATTTGACTATTTTCCACTCTCAAAAAAAAGATATAGACAATTAAATTAAGTATAATATTAACTATTATTTTACCATTACTGTAAAATCATTATTATTATTAAATACGTACACAAAGACCATCTTTTTTCGACACTTTCCTTTTTTCTATAATATTATTCATTTAAAATAGGATAGCGTATCTTATTAAAATATATATTATATACACAAAGCAACTATAAATATGACCATTGAATTTGGTGAAAACACGTGTAACCTTCCATTTGCAGAGTCCCGTTGCAATTGAATTCAGTGGAACTGCGCAGTTACTCGAAAATGTTCACCAAATAAATAATTAAACTGGGTTTAATGGAAACGCTAACAGGGAAAAACATTTTCGACCATCTACCTCACAATTTAGAGTGCAAAAACGGAAA